CATCTAAAAACATTTTTTAAATGAAGCTCATCCACAATCCAATGTACATATCTAAAAGCATTCTAGGAAGCATTGAAAATGGTAAAATGAAGAAGAAACGAAAATAGAACCCCAATACCCTTTACCTAATGGATTGTCGGGAAGAGATGGCCCAGCCTCAGCGCTCTCACCCATTTTCTCGACCAGCTTCTACTACTTCGATGAGCACCAGCAGCTGAAATCAACGCTACACCGGAAAAGGAAAGTAAATGCTGTGGTGATCCATTCAAAGAGAAGTGGTGACATTTATAAGGGTAGCCCGTGATCGCGCGGCGAAAACGACAATCTTGACTTGAGTGCGCGGAGAGAGAATGGAAGACAATTGCGCGGTAGTTTTTTCTTTTTTTCTTTTTTCTTTTTCCTTTTCTCCCCTCAGCAAAGCTTTTTTGCGCGGTAGGTTTTTCTTGTAATCATAATTATTTGGTTAAATGCTAAATTTGGTCCCTTAACAATTTTTTGCACTTTTTTGATCTCTCAACTATACGAAATGCACTCCGTTAGTCCTTCTGTTAATTCGGGCCGTTAACTCTGCTTATGTGGCATTTTTTATATTTTTTTTGATGATGTGGAGAGCAAAATTTAAAAAAGTGATGATGTACACAAAAACTTTTGCCATGTCATGCTACCGTGGCCAAAACGCGCCAAATCCGTCCAAGTGGATCCCACATCACCACTAAGAATTGCTTCTGTCCATTGATTACTGTTTCTGTTCTTTCCATCGACGAAAAATTGCTTCTGTCCATTGATTACTGTTTCTGTTCTTTTCATCGACGATGTTCTTTCCATTTTCAAGATTGAAATCATTTATACAATACTTCAAAAATATGAAGAAAAAAATCCCAAAAATCACTCACAACAACCTGCAATTTGGATAATCTCTTGATAAACAAACATATAACAAAAAAAAAAAAAATAGAGCTGGGTTCGCCAGAACCCAACCTGGGTTCCATCGAACCCAGCAGAGCTGGGTTCAGTGGAACAGGTTCCATTGACCCCAGCTCGATTCACTGTAATCTAGTTGTCCAAAAATCCCTCGCAACAACCTGCAATTTGGATAATCTCGGCAAACAATCATATAACAAAAAAAAAAAACCAATTGCCCAATCGAACCCAGCAGATCTGGGTTCGATGGAACCCATTTGCTGGGTTCCGTCAAACCCAGATCTGCTCGGTTCGGTGGAACCCAACCCCACGGAACCCAGCAAATGGGTTCCATAGAACCCAGATCTGCTGGGTTCCGTTCGATGACCTGAGAAAGAAAGACCCGAGGAAGAAGAGGAAGAAAGAAAAAGAAAAAAAGAAAGGAAGAAGATGGAATAGAATTATTTTATTTTATTTTTTAAAAATATAAATAATAATAATGTGAGTTGGCATGAGTTGTAATAAAAAAAAATTTTACGTGAACACGTTTTTAATTTGTTTTTGCCATGTCATCAAAAAAATTATAAAAAATACCACATAAGCGAGTTAACGGCCCAAATTAAGAGAAGGACTAACAGAGTGCATTTCGTATAGTTGAAAGATCAAAAAAGTGTAAAAATTTGTTGAGGGATCAAAAATGTGCATTTCGTAAAGTTAAGAGATCAAATTTAGCATTTAACCTAATTATTTTGATAATGCCCCTTCGCGGACATCCGATAAAAAAAAAATATTTTCATAATGAAAATTTACGATAAATCTATGTTCACGTTATATTAAA